AATAAAATAAACATATATACATGAAAAATTTTAAAATTCACTAAATGTAACCTAGAAAAAAAAAAACAAAATAAAAAAGCTGTTGTTCAGGGCATATACAAACCGAGATCGGTCCATATAGGTATATACGGACTGTCATCGGTCCGAATATAGGCACTCCAAGGGATTTAATCCTAAAACTAAATCAAATTAAGTATGAATATATATACAGATCGATTTTTGGTCTGAATATATGTAAAGAATCTAGAAGCTTCCATGCTTTTCATTTTTCAGACCGATTTTGATCCGAATATACTAGAAAAAATCCAGAAACTTCTCTTAGTGCACATTTTTATTCTTTTCATTTAAGGACATTACCATCTTCTCGGGTCCTAAATCCATTCCTACGAAAACCAATTGCATGTACATCAACCTTACAGTTCTTTGGAACCACAAAACCATCAATTGTCTATATGAAATTATCTTACGATGGTACAGAGTAATATCGTTGCGAAACCACGAACGTATAAGTTGAAGGTTATTAGAAATAATGTTATGTAATGTTCTTTCAGAGTTACAAGCAAATAAAATTAACTTTTTTTGTTAAAGTTAACCACTTTGGCATGCAAACATTCGGAATGTTACGGTTTAAAACGAGAGTAGAACGACTTAAGAACAAAATAACAAAAAATAAATAAAAAGCTGCTGTTCAAGTGTATATACAGATCGATAACGGTCCATATAACTTTATACGGATCGGTATCGGTCCGTATAATTTTATACGGACCGGTATCGATCCGAATATAGGCATTTCAAGGTTTTTTAATCATAAAGCTGAATTAAATTAGGTATGAATATATATACTTAATAAAAATTATACTTATTTGGTAAGTATAAAACATATAAAATTGAATAAAAATATAATATTGGTAATTATAATTATAAATAAAAAATAAAATATAAATATATATAAACTACAACTATATAAATAATTTAATTTACAACAAAATAAAAAAAAATGTTTTTACTTGAAATTCTTCACATTTCCTACAAAACAAAAAACAAAATATACATAAATATAAAAGAAAAGTGAAAAATGTAATAAAATAAACATATATACATGAATAATTTTAAAGTTCACCAAATATAACCTAGAAAAAAAAATAAAAAAGCTGTTGTTCAGGGTATATACGAACCGATATCGATCCATAGAGGTATATATGGACCGACATCAGTCTGTATAGGTATATACGGACCGACATCGGTCTGTATAGGTATATACAGACCGACATCGGTTCGTATATATCATTTAAAAAAAAAGCAATAAAAAATAAAGAAAACAATTTTATTTTATTTAATAATTATATAACATTACCAAATAATGCAAAAATATATTTTACCATTAAAAATAAATGCATTTATAAAAAAATAAAATATGCTTGGAATAATTATTTAAAATAATGACTTAAAATATGTAAAATTTTAATTATATTATATTTACTTAATAAATTTCAATTTTAGTTTTAGTTTTATTTAATAAAAATTATACTTATTTGGTAAGTATAAAACATATAAAAATAAATAAAAATATAATATTGGTACTTATAATTGTAAATAAAATATAAATATATATAAACTACAACTATATAAATAATGTAATTTACAACAAAATAAAAAAAAATGCTTTTACTTGAAAATTTTCACATTTCCTACAAAACAAAAAACAAAATATACATAAATATAAAAGAAAATTGAAAAATGTAATAAAATAAACATATATACATGAAAAATTTTTAAGTTCACCAAATGTAATCTAGAAAAAAAAACAAAATAAAAAAGTTGCTGTGGGTGGGCCCAGCATCCAATCAATTCATAGATTCCCTGACGTAACTTTTCAAATCGGGATCAATCCAGATATGTAATATATATAATAAATTAATATATACGATTTTCAACATAATATATACGAATCGATTTTGGTCTGTATATTTTCATTAAAAATAATAATTCATTCTTAATTTTTGTTATTTAATATTTATTTTTTACTAAAAATAATAAATATACAGACCGAAATCGATCCAAATAGAAAAATGAAATTTC